ATAATAATATAACTGCAAATGTGGTGTTCTTATGCTTTGTCTCACAGAAAATGGTACTGTCTACTCCTTCGGAGAAAACAAACTGGGGCAGCTAGGTCAGGGCAATCAGACAGATGCTGTGCTCAGCCCAGCTACAGTAAGACTCTCTCTGGGTTTCACTTGCTTAATGGGGCTTTAATGTAACATGTTTATTGTATTTTTAATGTTCCACTAAACATCTGCATTGACTTGCCTACAGATCCAGTACAACGGGCAGCCGATAGTCAAAGTAGCCTGTGGTGCAGAGTTCAGTATGATTGTGGACTGCAAGGGGAACCTTTATTCTTTCGGTTGCCCGGAATACGGCCAACTAGGTAACACTAGTAAAATGGGGTTTAACTGGAATACAGTCACCAAACACACCTGTTTGGATTATTTACTCTTTTTGTTCTGTATCTAAAAGGGCATAACTCAGACGGAAAGTTCATCGCTCGTGCCCAGCGCATCGAGTTTGACTGTGAGCTGATCCCTAGACGGGTGGCCATTTTCATTGAGAAGACCAAGGATGGCCAAGTACTTCCTGTGCCCAATGTCGTGGCTCGGGATGTAGCATGTGGGGCCAATCATACAGTGAGTAGCAAGTTTGTGGATTGTGCTTCAAGTCAAATATGAATGAATTAACATTATATAAGATTATATTGTTGCGTCCACGCAGCTGGTGCTAGATTCCCAAAAGCGCGTGTTTTCATGGGGATTTGGGGGATATGGCCGATTAGGCCACGCCGAGCAGAAAGATGAGATGGTCCCACGGTTAGTCAAGCTCTTTGACTTCCCTGGCCGTGGAGCAACTCAAATATACTGTGGCTATCAGTGTTCCTTTGCTGTCAGTGAAACAGGTAAGTGTGTAATTCCTCCCTGGGGAAAAAAAACAGCCTATCATACCCATCATCTATTTGTGGTTAATGCTGCTTTTTATTTTTCAGGTGGTCTGTTTTTCTGGGGAGTGACAAATACGTCCCGTGAGTCCACCATGTACCCCAAAGCTGTGCAGGATCTGTGCGGATGGAAGATTCGCAGTCTGGCCTGTGGGTAAGTAAAAACAGAGTACTCTAAAAATGTGTTTTATAAAATATTTTGAATTTTTCAGAATGTTGATTAGGTGTTATCTATAACTCCTCTCAGGAAGAGCAGTATTATCATAGCAGCTGATGATAGCACTATTAGCTGGGGACCATCGCCCACATTTGGAGAGCTGGTATGTTTATCTGTGTTCTGTTAAAACCCGTTTAAGAATTAAGTCAATAACTACATAAAAGTTTGGGGTCAGTAAGATCTTTGTTTTTGATCAAATAAATTAAGCCTTGCTGAGCATAAAAGGCGTCCTTCAATAGTGTAAGATGGCAAGTTTCTCATATTTCAATTTTGCATTTTTAGGGGTATGGTGACAACAAACCCAAGTCATCCACCACTGCTCAAGAGGTCAAAACTCTGGATGGTGTGTACTCAGAACAGGTGAGTTCTGCTGTCAAAAGCGTGAATCATATCCTCCCAGAATTCTGTTCTATGTGATATAATCGTATGGCTATGCAACTAAATACTTTGTCATTTCAGGTGGTAATGGGCTATTCTCACTCCCTGGTTATTGCTCGGCAAGACACAGAGCAGGAGAAAGAAAAGCTCAAGAAGCTTCTTGAATACAACCCACGCACACTCTGATTGGACACCATTCACATTTTCTCCAGTGGCTTTTTTAAGGAATGCCTCTGCTCACTAGGTCACCTGGGTAATCACAACCTGGGTGAACAATTTCATAATCTGTTGGTTGGGATGGGATTTTATTTTTCCTGTATTTTTGGACATCATATTGCATTTTTGAAAGACAAGCCACATGTCGGATAAAAGTATGAGAGAAGTTGCATTAACTGATCTGTCTAGGCTCGGGCGTTTCAGAATGGTAATTGTGGCATCACATGCCCGTTTTATTTTCACAATAGAGCCAGCAACTACTCAGAGCACTCGGATTCCACTGGATGCATCCTCTTTACTTATACATTCCTAATGGAAGTATATCACAGATTGTTTTGTTGTTTATTTTTCCATAACAATGACTGTGAGATCCATGTCTGCTCTCTTCCAAAAACTGGTGCTAAATCATTCTAATGCAGACTATCAATGGGCTAATGGTTAACTAAAAGACAAACTCACTCCATTCTTGTGCCTTTTTAAGTGAGATGATTCAGGCTGAGGAAGTTCAGTTAGTCCTATGACAACTCAAGTGTTATGGGGCACTTCATCTTTTAAACATCACTTTCATTACTTCCAGCTCCATGTTATCATCACCATACATAAGAACATCATTTTCCTCAAGACCACGTAGCTAATAGATAAGCTTTTTTCCCTTCTCCGTCTTAAGATACAGACTCCTGTTAATCTGATCAGGGAAGTATTATCAACTCCTGCAATGCAAATGAGACATCAGCTGTGAGATTTCTATTAAATTCATTCTCCCTTTTATAGAAATGTAAATCCTTAATGTTTATGCCCTTGCTAGTATTGTTAACTACAGAAATGCTGTTCTCATGTGTTGATGTTAGCATGTTTTTGAAATAATGGAATTGATGTTGAGAAGAGTAGGATTGTCCCATCATCTGGGACCACAATGTCTTTACAGAGCATCATTTCATGCAATATGTTGAATACTGTGCCATTTCTTTGTGTTCACCTGGGCTTAAACTGTGATCACATTTATGTTTCATAATCTGTAAGTCCATGCAAGAATCCATCCAGTTTGTGATGTGTTTTATGTTCTATAATTTTAAATTGTGTACTTACATGAAATGTGTTCGTTTAGGCAATATATGTCCAGGAACTGGAATTCCAACTCCTATTATGAATTCTATTTTTTTTTTCTTAATATTAAATAAAGGTTCATGTAAGTTGGTATATGTTGATGCAGTTTTATTTTTACCCGTGCACATGCTTAGTTTTTATCCCTCAAGTTAGCAGAACAGTGTGCTGTTATCTTAGTTGCCATTAAGTAAAAATTCACCCTATTTTCCAAATGCCTGTTGCAGGTGTTGTGAACAATTCATCTGTGCATGTTTCATTTAAAATAAAAAAAATACTTTTTGATTAAACATTAAAAAATATCAGAACTGGACCTTTTAAAAAAAAATTTTTTTTTTTTAAACTGATTTTTTTCCCTCTCTGGTGAAGTATGATGACTCCAATTCCCACAGCTCAAAATTCAAACTGATGCATAAAACCAAATCCGTTTGAACTAAAAAATATTGTTTTCTAATAATCTGTTACACTCAGATGTACATCACAATATATAAAAAAAGATCTTATGCCACTTCATTATTGTGGTAGATTAATATAAATAAATAGGTGCGTGTTTAACATCGAAACGCCAATGATAAAGAACTATATCTGGATACATAAAATGTAGTCATATATGAATTTATTTAGAGAAGCAAAAAAAAATCAAGAATTTAATCCTCATCCTCCTCTTCTTCCTCATCCTGGTTGATCTGAAAGTAGCGAAGCTCGTAGCTTTCTTTCGTGTTGGCCACAACACGCAACCAGTCTCTGAGATTGTTCTTCTTTAAGTATTTCTTTGTAAGGTATTTCAGGTACCTGCAGAAAAGATGAGAACAGTGGAATAAAATGTAAAGTTGCAGTTAAAAATAAAATAATTGGCAAAAACAAAGTCAAGATGCATCAAAACACACACCTCTTGGAGAAGGGCACCTCAGAAGATACTGTGATTTTGCTCTTGCTTCTTTCAATGGTGACCACTCCACCTCCCAGGTTTCCTGCTTTACCGTTGACTTTGATGCGCTCCTGTAGGAACTGCTCCTGTATCCACACACGCAAATGACAAGTCATATACTCAGACAGCTAGCGATTATCTGACTTCTACAGTATAATAAACACAGTTTTGCATAATAAGGACTTGATCTAGTTACAAAGTTTGAAGCATCCATAATGCCATCTTCAACGGGATGCGTGCAGTCCAGCGTGAACTTCAGGACCTGCTTCTTCTTCTTCTTTCCACCTTTATAGCTCTGATGCTTCTTCTGCAATTAAATACAAGAAAATGTGTACTCTCAGTCTTGTGTCTATAACAGTCCTGTCATTATCATTAGAATAACAAAATCGTTAGTAGAAATGTTGCGCGCAAGATTGAATCAAGTTCTCTGTTAATTTAGCTGCACGGGGTTCATTCAATGATACATAACGATTGCTTTACGTACTGGATTATTACTAAACTTATTTTGTGAAAGCGATTGTATATTATGCAATCTCGAATGATGTGTATACATGATAATGAATGGAAACGTCTGTTATTTTATTAACTAGGTCCGTATGTTCAAACTTACAACAGGCGCCATAGCTAGAAATTTCGTCGAAAGGAAGAACCACGACTGCGCGAGCGTGACGTCACAGACTGTTTAATCTAGCGCTGAGGTAATCGATGTGTTCGATTTGTCTGTTGTTGGATATAATAATGGACGGTTAACCCAATAATAATAATAATAATAATAATGTACTCTGTGTACGATTTGACCATACAAATTCCCATGGAACACAAAAGGAGACGTTTGAATAATGTTAATATGACCAAAACTTGGACCCACAGAAGATAGTAATTTCTTGACGAATTTGGAATGATTAGGGGATGAGGAAATGATGACTGAAGTTTCATGTTCGAAAGATATCCTATTAAATGTGAACAAGCGTTTAAGTGTTGATCTTTTGTAGAAAATGACCCACAAACTTCTATTTTTACACGTATATATGAAAAGATCTAATGAACTAATGTTTTGAGTGACGCCATTATTCTGATATGACATGTTAGTTTGCATGTTAGTGTAAGCAAGATATACTGTGTGATTTATTTTTAGCTACCTGGGTTCTGCTTTTGACAGACAATGGCATCTGGTTTGTGTTGTATAATCAGGGTCTGAGTATTCTGGCCCCAACATATCACACCCCCTCATACAGCACATACATGAGTGTCAATTGATTGTTTGTTGTTGAAGTCATATCCTGCATCTAGGAACCCTCAGAGAACATTCACACAGCATTCACTCCATGCAGCAGAGGCACTCGGACAGGACAAGGTATTCAGATATTCATTATTTGTTAATTAAATATGTATATTTATTCTTTCTGTATCTTTTAGGTTGCATCTATTCAAGTGACCTTTATGTTGCTTCGGCGTGTATGGCCTCATTCAGAGGCTTGTTTCTGGTTTATAGCTTCAATAATGAGTAGCCTACTAACCTTGGATCTCAAAGAACTTTTTAAGTATATTTTCTGATTCAAGGAGAGCCCAAGGACACCAAGCATGCTTAGAATAATAGTTATGATAGATATACTGTATAAATGTACAATGTGTAAATGTGTTCACACATATACTATATCAGAGTATCTGAAGGTCTTATTATATTTTCAGATGTCTGGAGAGATCTTTTCCCCTCTGGATAATCTCTATGACCTGGACAGTGCCAACTGCCATCCTCTGGTGTGCCATTTGTGCCAAGAACAGTATGAGCATCCATGTTTACTGGACTGTTACCACACGTTCTGTGCCAGCTGCCTGCGTGGAAGGGCCGTGGACAGCCGACTGACTTGCCCTCTCTGTGGGTAAGATTTTACATTATTTAATCCTTGATCACCTTATTCTGACAATTCACACAAAAAATATTCATAAGTATGCATTATTATTAATGCATTAAGCATACGTATAAAAATTAACACGGCAATTGCAACTTTTTATATCACAATTTAGACTTTTCTCTTGCAATTGCAAGTTCTCAGAATTGTGATTAACTCAGAATTGTGAAATATAAACTCTTTGAAATATAAATTCTGAGTTTATATCTAACCGTTTTGACTTTTTTCTAGCAATTCTGTGAAAAAAAATCATAATTGTTATATATAAACTCAGAATTGTGAGAAAAAATTTCATAATTGTAAGATAAAAAGTTGCAATTACTTTATTCCATGGCGGAAATGGGCGTTCATACTTATGACATGTATGCATTTGAAAAATCTAACATTGTATTTATAGATCTAAATGGTCAAACGACATTGCCTGGTCAACTATATGGTGCCAGCGGCATTTGTAGGAGAGATTACCTTCAACAGCTGCACCATAAATCCTGCCTTTGTGTTGAACTTAATCGAAAGTCTCTGGGCACATTCTGCCAAGGCCACTGTGGTATCAAACAATAAACCTAACACTATCTGACACTTGACATTGGATACATGGGTCCTGGGCTGGCTACAGTTAGAGATGGCTGAAATGCCTGTGTGCTCACCCTTCTGCTTCCATATAGTAAGTCTAGCAGCAGCTTAATCGCACACTGTAGATCTTGCACCTATGGAAGAAATATATTAAAAAATGGGAAAAAGTTGGTGGTCTTTATAAAGCAGCATGTTAGAGTAAGTATGAATTTGTTTTTAGCTGGTTCAGTGTTAATTTGAAGGTTACTGCACATTTCTCAGTGTTTGTGTTGCATTATGAGTGCTGCAGCATGAGTGTTACATTATGGCATTGTGATTGCATGCATTATGTATTTGTCATTGTTATGCATTAGCAATGCAAAGTAGAGTATAGGACAATATATCATTGTTTAAATCACTTTTTGTCAAATACATTGTGAATGCTTCTCATGAAAGTGAATTCACAGGGAATCTTTGAACTATTAAGCTTACACTCTAAAAAATGCTGGGTTGTTTCAACCCAACTTTGGGTCAAATATGGACTAACCCAACTTTTGGGTTAAAATTTTAATGTAAAAAATTTAACCCAACGGTTGGGTTAGACCATATTTGACCCAAAGTTAGGTTGAAACAAGCCAGCATTTTTTAGAGTGTAGAAATATTAAAATAGTCTTTTTGCTGGGAATTACGCTTATTTGAGTCTCATGTTTGTGTTTATTTTTGACTCTGTGGGGGTTTGTCTATCAGTCTCTGTTATATCTCAGAATTCAAAAGAGAGCTATTTGTGTCGTTGTTGCTATGAGGGAGAGATAAACTCGTCAATGCCAGATGTATGACTAAGACATTATCAGGCAATGGGTCAAAAGTTCTGCACAGGCACACAAAACTGTCTGTTTCTTTTTTAGACATCAGTCTGTTGTGAAAGGAATAAATGCACTCCCCCCAGAGGATCGACTCCTGAAGTTCTTGGTGGACAGTTCAGCAGACAGTGAGGAAACCGTGCAGTGTGCTAACTGTGATTTGGAGTGCAAGAAACAGGTCTCATTATCACCATCACAACACTGAAACATGCACTTCATAAAGACTTTAACGGTTCCTTAAAGTCACAATGTAATGGAAATAGCGGAAGATTCTTTTGTCATATATTGTGATGTACCGAGTGAAACTAGTGAAATGTAGGGTGGGGATTTTATTCATGGGTTGATTGGATGGAGGCAGATCTGAATGTGAGCTGATATAGTAATAATATGATGAGTACTTTTACGGAATAAATATTTTGGGAAATATGCAATTTCATAAATTTAGTTCTTGCAAAAGTTGTTTACACAGAATTTTTAAAGGAATAGTTCACCCGAAAAGTTAAAATCGCTGACAGTTTACTCACCCTCAGGCCATCCAAGATGTAGACGAGTTTGTTTGTTATCGGAACAGTTTGGCTAAATTTAGCATTATGTCACTTGCTCACCAAGGGCTCCTTTGCAGTGAATGGGTGCCGTCAGAATGAGAGTCCAAACAAAAGTATCATAATAATCCATGCAACTCCAGATGATCAGTTTTGACTTTTAACTTTGAACTGTCACTTCTTGCTAAAGTTCCAGTCCATAATTAATTATTACGCTTCGTCCAGGTAAAAAGTCCATCCCCTGTTGTCCTCTCACATTAAAATCCACTAACATATTTGTTTAGAACTGTTTTGGACTGTTTTCGCTTCGGTGATTGATCTGTGCATATTTCTCTCCTGATTCAGACAAGTTAACTCTATCATTGGAGAAAGTAAAAATATTACAGAGGGGCTTACATTTTAGAAGCAACGGTTTGGAGTTAAAAACATAAATGATGAATTTGTTTATTACAAACATACAGATTTTTCACTTTACAAGACAAATTGATGGACTGGAGTCGTGCCAATTATTTGTGGATTATTGTGATGTTTTTATCAGCTGTTTGAACTCTCATTCTGACGGCACCCATTCACTGCAGCGGATCCATTGGTGAGCAAGTGATGTAATGCTACATTTCTCCAAATCTTTTCCGATTAATAAATAAATTCATACATCTTCAATACATCTTTGATGGCCTGAGGATGAGTACATTTCCAGCAAATTTTCTTGTTTGGATGAACTATTCCTTAAAGATCTTTTCTTCCATATTGTGATGTACGTAAGAGTGAAAAGGATTATACAACACATTGCCATATGAACAACCAGTCAGTAACTACTTATTTTAGGTATGTGTTTGATTCACTAAAAAGAACCATTAGAGTCAATCAAAGAGTCATTAGAATAATTTGTTCAGTTGTAAACAGCGGTTGCACGGTACCTTTCTGATTCACTAAAAAGAATTTGTTGAGAATCAGACTAAACTGGTCGAGCTGTAGATTCAGTAGCAGTGTCTGTGGCATGAAACTCTGTCACAGTGTTTAATTATGTTGCACTTCTGAATGTCATTATTTTTATTTTTTAAAAAGATTAGGTTTTGTCTGGTTATGCATTTTAATCTTCTGTCACAAACCCCAGGATGTGGATGCAATGTATTATTGCAACACTTGTTGCCAGCCACTGTGTCGAGACTGCAGGGAAACCACCCACAAAGCCAAGATGTTTTCCTGCCACGAGATTGTCTCCTTGGCAAAGCGCACCAAAGAAGCCCACAAAAAATGTGGTGTGTGTTTTGAAAACCACTTCTCAAGTTTCCCCAGCAAAATAACAAGTCTTGAGATTCATGCAGTTTCTGTCTGATTGCAGCCCTCCATGAGGAACTCTACATCATGTTTTCTACAGAGAAAAAGTCCATGCTCTGCATCAACTGCTTCAGAGACATGCAAGTGTGAGTTATAAACTTAACTCACAGAGCATGAAATTAGCATATCACTCATACGATTTCAAAATAATCTGGGTTTATCTAATTCCATAGGGAGAGCAGAGCACACTGCATTGATATTGAGACAGCATATATACAAGGCTGTGAAAAATTGGACCAAGCCGTCTTAGTGAGTTTCTCTCCCATCCTTTTCATCCAACAGTAATGTGTACTTTCATCTGTATCTGTATTGTGTGGAGCTGTGAAGCACCTATTGAAGTCATTTCCCTCTCCTCAGGCTGTTAAGGAGCTTCAGACGTCAGCGCGAGAAGCCATTATTCTTTTTAAAGCCATGATTGGAGAGGTCAGGGTCAACGTGGATGAAGAAGAGAGCGCCATCTGCACTCTGTTCAATAATATGCAGGTGTCATGCACAATTACATGACTAATCATTCTGGCTACTCTTATACGATTTGGATTTTTAAAAAATTGTTTCATCATTTGAAATGTTTTGAAAGGGTGAAGTTTATATGAAATGATTAATAATAAAATTGGTGATTCACATATATTTCTTTCCTCAGGAAAGACTAGCAGAAAGAAAAAAGATTCTACTCAAGGCAGCACGAAGGTAAATAAAATATATATTACTTAAAAATAGAAAAATAAGACATTGTACATTAAAATCTGTTACGTGACTTTAAAAGCACTAACTGTACCATGATGCTTTTTGTCAGACAAAAAATATAGTGGAGTGAAATATTAAATATTAATTATTAGAGATGCACAATATATTTGTGAAAATACCATATCAGTTATCAGCTGATATTATAGTTATTAGAGATGTCAGTATCTATATTGGAATATTTAAATATAATAATATTTTTAACATTTAAATATTAAAATTTTAATATCTGCCATTTATCAATTAATATCTGCGATTTATTAACCATAAGATAATTATTGGTGTTGGAATTTTAATTTCAGTGCATCACTATTATAGCATATATACAGTATATATATACAGTATATATATGTATGTGTGTGTATAATATTGTTGTTTGAGATATAATTGAGATATAGAAATATTTTAATACTGCATATTAATATAATAATAATACATGTAATCTAAGTCCACACACAAACTGAACCAAAGATCTTAAGGAACACTGATTGGAACACTAATCCTCTTTTGTGATTTTATTTTCTAGTCAGCATGAGGAGAAGGAGAGAGCCTTCAAAGAGCAGTTATCTCATCTTGCAACACTCCTGCCAACTCTTCAGGTAAGCGCATTTTCTTCATGTCTTCATGCATCTTAATATTTTCACATATTCTTCATGCTTCCAGACATGTTTCCATTGAATTCTCTCCAGGTTCATCTTGTCACATGTTCTGCCTTCCTAAGCTCAGCAAATAAGTTTGAGTTCTTAGACATGGGATATGTGAGTACAAACAAATAAAATATTTTTATTAAATATTTTTTAAATAAAATGATTTCAGCCAGGGCATGGTACCAACAATAAGAATTATAATTTATATTTTCACCTCACACAGCAATTAATGGAGAGACTAAAGAAGATTGTGAAACTACCACACAGGCTGAGACCAGTACAGAGCAGTAAGGTTAGTTTACTAAATTCAAGTATGTTAAATAAGTCAATGTATAAGTTATATCTGCTGTAATCTATCTCCACAGATAAACACAGAGTATCGCTCCGAGTTTGCTCGCTGCCTGGAGCCGCTCTTGCTGTTGGGGCAGCGGCGTTCAGTGTCCACTGCAGGGAGTGTGGCTTTAGGTCTGGGAAACGCCAGTGGATTGTGAGTCTGTTTATTCAAGCAAACTAAATATGCTTATTTAAAAAGTAACATTTAAACATATTAAATCTTTTGATTATCTTCCTGCAGGATGCAATCATCTCTGTCAGTGCAGTGTCACTCTCCAGCCATGAGCGACATGTCACTGTGCTCCTCGGTGGTGCGCAGGCCGACCTCACACCGTTACATAAGCACCAAGGTCCTGCTGGCGGAGGGTGGAGAGACGCCTTTTATGGAGCACTGCTGCAACTACGAGAACAGCTACAGGGTGAGAATTTCTTATGCATTCATGGTTCAGTCCATGATATTTTATTTTTAGCCATTTTCTGGGCTAATATTCTTACCAAGAGGAAATTACAGGAAAATAAAATGAATGGTATTATATTATGTCCAACCACTAAATGCGTATTTACATAGAAAAAAGTTAAGCAATACTGTTCTGCAACTGACAAATTCTCCATGTCTGTTTGACTAGACTTTACAGACAGAAATCCAGAAGCTCAAAGACCAGGTGCAGGAGATTCACAGAGACCTGACCAAGCACCACTCACTCACCAAACCCGACACCATGAATGAGATTTTGGAGAGGTCTGTTCAGGTGGACAGACAGATCTCAGCAGAGTACTCCTCAGTCGAGCTCATGCGTGCCATGTTCGAGGAGGTGAGATGCCAATACTTACCAATACTGACAGTAGGTGGAGGTAAAAAAAGAGATGTCATTGTGCAATTAATTTTGTTCTTAGATTTGGGAGGAGACGTTACAGAGGGTGGCAAATGAACAGGAGATATATGAAGGTAAGTATTTAAATGCTTAAGATTTATCTGTTCACTGCAGTTATATCTTAGTTACCATATTTAGTGATTTTTGTTGTTTTTTTAGCACAACTTCATGACCTGCTTCAGTTAAAACAGGAGAACTCCTATTTGACCACTATTTCCAGCCAAATAGGCCCCTACATTCGCTCCATAGCAAAAGTGAAAGAGCGTCTGGAGCCCAGGTACTGGAGCTTGATGTATCATTCACAACGCTTATAGAGTAACATAAATCATATATATACACAAAAGTTTGGTATCTGTTTTTGAAATAAGTCTCTTATGTTCACGATTAATTTGATCAAAAAAAATAAAATAGTAAATATTAATGCTATTAATAGTAAGAAGTAAAATAGTACTATTGTGAAATATTACTACAATTTAAAATAACTATTTTCCATTTCAATATATTTTAAATTGGAATTTATTCCTGAGATGGCAAAACTGAATTAACTGAATATATATATAACACAGCCCAGGTAAGTTACCAGCAATTTCTCAAAGTATATAATGTAGACATAGACACAGTTATTAATTATAAAGCATTAATGGCCATTCCATACTTCACCAATACAGTAATGAGCCGTCCTGTAACACTGAGGACAACTGGACTCTAAACAGCCTATCAGAAGAGACCAATCCCAAGAACAAAGATTACTACAGGCCAAACAAGCAGAAGAACACCACTGATACAGCCAATCGCAAAGAGATACCAATCTGAAACCGCTTTTGTGATTCTGTCAATTTAGATATGTTACCCCAAAAAATAAGCATGTATGTATGTAAATCTAATTTACGGAAGCTGGAAAGAGAGAAAAACTACTAGTTTACAGTGCTTGTATTTTAGAGAATCACAGTAATGTCAAATAAACATTATAATCAGTGTTTATTTTAAAGGTTTGTTACATTTTGCTGAAGATGTTAATCATGTAAGTGGTACAGTTATCATCCAAGAGGTACGGTGGTCCTCTCCCATTAGCTTTTTGCACAAGCGTAGTGCAATGCTTACATCATAAAAACCTATTTCATGTGTTCAAATGTCCATTACCTGTACGCATATATTATAGTGCTCGTCATTGGTTAAAAGTGTGCAAGAAATTCCTATTCTTTACCCAATGTCTATATAAGCTACATCATGCCAGGAGAAGAGTGGAGCCTTCCTCCCAGAAATGTAAAATCGGAAAGATTAAGACTTTGGATACAGCATAACCCCTCCAGCATTCGGCCTTCTGAATCCCACCTTCGTAGAAACCGATTTTCTTGTTGAATTATCATGCAAGTGTGAAGGAAAGTGACAAGACGAGGATATGATATTGAGTGAGTGAGTGTGGGAGTGAAGACAAAAAGACACTAATGCATTTGACAGGACATATGCATAACTGAAGGACTAGAAAGACCAATGGGGAACAAGTAATCAAAAGAGGAATTAAGCCTGTAATTTATCACGCGTTTATTTTTCTAACCATAATATTAAAATTGTCCAACAGCATTAACAAATCACAGATATTCAGAGATTGTCAGCAATTAGTTTTAAAATGTGTATGCCCGAGAATCAGCTCTGGCTGATCTTAAAAAAAGATCTTTCTGAGACACGATAAACTCATTTTTACACAAAACGGACAATGTCTAAATGGCCACTGCAGTAAATATCCAATTTAAAGCCTATCTGAACAAAATTCCTCAAGAGATTTAAAAATCTACTGAAAAACTCTGGACGTTCATAAGTAGTAACAAACCAATGTCTTGAATCTCATTTCTAAGGTTTCTAACCACAAAACCAGGGGATTTAAAAAAAACAAAAAAAAATAAAGAGCGTATGAAATTACATGGTGCAAAGACTGTAAATATGAGGATACGTGACATATGAGTAGGAGTAAGACAAAATGTAAGAACAGAAATGTGATGAAGTGTAGGAGACAAGACAGATGCTGATGAATGTGGTGTTTGTGTACTAGTATCTCTGGTGGTGTTGAGGGTGGAAGCTCCACCCTGCTCAGAGCAGACCGATGTGTCTCAGAGCAGATCAACGGGTCAGTTTTACTGTGCTGCCACCTCATGTATCTGTGCCGCCCTCAGGGGGCGCGACATGATGCCACCAGGCAACTAGCTCGCTCAGAGTGCCAGTCAGAGGTGTCCAGGTGTGCACTTTCAGGCTATTTCCTCCGTTCTATGCAGTACGGCTTTAGGAGTTAACCCTGATCCCTGAGATGAAGGGCAAGCCAGTGAAGACCACCTTCTTGTACTCAATGTAGTCCTCTCCAAAGAAATGGATGAGCGAGATCTCCTCTTCCTCAATACGCTCTCGAAAGAAGCGCCAGCTGGCGATCGTATATCCCAGTAGACATATTGGATTGCACAGCATTATCTGGAGAAAAAAATAGGTTTAAAACAAAACATTTAAGACAAAACATATCTTTTAGACTCTGCCAGTCAAAAGTTTGGAATAATTATGATTTTTGTGTCTTACGCTCACCAAGCCTGTATTTATTTGATAAAAAAAAGAGAAAACAGTAATGTTGAAAAATGTGAAATTTGAATTTTCATTGGTGTCACTTTTTGGAAACTGTAATACACATCATTCAAAAGTATGATTTAAAATTTTTATCAGGAGGGACACATTAAATTTATCAAACATAACAGTAAGGAAATGCAGTTCTTTTGAGCTTACTATTCATCAAGTTTTCCACAGAAAGATTTTTCAACATTGACAATAAGCACCACATCAGTCATACTCTAATATGACCAGACTGTCATATTAGAGTATGAATATCATGAATATCATGTGACACTGAAGACTGGATTAATGGCTGCTGAAAATTCAGCTTTGCCAGCATAGTAATAATAGTAATAATAAAATGTATTTAAATAAGAAATATTTTACAATATAACTGATTTTACTGTAATTTTTTATCAAATTAATACAGCCTTGGTGAACACAAGAGACTTCTTAAAAAAATATTTTGGTAGTGTGAATTTTAGGGACACAAAAAATAATAAAACAAAACGTAAATATATATTTAAAAGTAAAAGATAATAACAACAATAATTATTAGTAGTATTATTTGTATTACTATTATTATACTAAAAAAAAATTATTTGTGAAGTTGCTTTAGAAAAAGATGTACTGTGAAATACTATAAATATAAATTCCATTTAAATAATGGTTAAAGTACCTGAGTGCCAATGCTCCAGTAAAACCAGCCCACATAGGAAGGATGTCTGAAGAGAGCGTAAACTCCAGTGGTGACCAGCACGTGGCTCTGGGCCTTCTCATTCTGTACTATGTGGTTGAAGTTGGATCCTGCTGTCAACATGGCAGCTTTGCGCAAACTCTCCCCACAGAGAACCATCACCAGACCCACCAGACAGAGCCAGTTCATCTGCTTCATCTCTGTGGGGAAATAAAAACAAACAGTGAAATTCAATTAATTCTGGAAAGATTTCAATAATGAGAAAAAAATAGTTCATGAATAATAATAATAATAATAATTCTGTAAACTTTAGAATAATTTCACTTCAATCACTCTAAAAAAAAATAAAAAGTAGCTTTGGCAGTATGTTATATTACATTACTATGTATCAGGTTTAAAAAAGCAAAATCAAACTCTCTAAAAACGAAATAATAATAGATATAATGATTATAACACTAATTTGTGGCATTATAATAGATAACACATATTATAATAATATTAACATTTAATATATTTATTTAAAACCATACAAATTGTCAAAACGTATACACATTATTGTTTCCTTACCAAGAAACCGATTGTGCCAAGATGTTAATGTTACTAAAATATTACTATAATTACACAATGCATTTTAATGAAAGTATTTTTATCATGTATATTTTACAATTTACTAATAAAGCAATAAAACCAAAATGATGATTCACTCAAGATGTGGGAAAAGGTCCTGTTTTTAATCAGCAACCCATGTACACTTGATAAAATAAAGAATGAAGTATTAATCTACAGCTGTAATATGTGGAATTTAGATGGTGATGGTGGAGGTGAATACCACAAAACATAATGCCAGTGTCAAATCAGCAAAGCACAATATTTCTCCTATAATAACAACTGCATGGCTCTCAATGAGCATGATGAAAAGCATTATTGTAGCGTAGCACAAGCAGTTGTAGAGTAATTCAGACTCGAGCTGAAAGGAAGATTTAATGGTTTAATAATGTGAGATGGAGATCTCCCTTGTGTCCTTCTTTGTGTGTCCATTCCAAAGCTGCTCGTCTGATTGGAAGCTGGGGACCTGGCAGACGTTGCAGTTGCAACATTAAATAGATAGTCTTTGCATGCTCAAGTCAAGTTGATCTATAACTCAACACTCAACCACATGAACACAAAATACAAATTACTTATGTCTTCATGCATGAAATTTCAATGAATACATTTTTTTTTTTTTTTCACAATGACATGTCTCTCAATCTTAATATCACACATATACACAGAGTAGCTCTGGCTGCGAATCTCTGGCCTAGATTGTATCAAACCTGGAATAAGGAGCTTTTCCACAGTGAACTCTATCCAGGAGGAAATAGCTGCTACTGTGTACTCAACACTATGGTTGAGCAGGAAGGAGTCTAGAGACAGACTGCGTGGGTTGATGATGGCAGTAACCAGGTACTCAGAGTAGTGAAAAAATGACAGCGAACACATATACCTAGTGAAACAAAACAGTCAATACAGAGCGACGTTATTATTCCATAATTCATAAAAATTCAATCACTTCTAAGACTATTTCGAATTATCTTCAGTCCTTATGTTAAATGTGTAAATGCACCTCAAATAGACCTAACCCATTTCACAAAAGTTTAATTACCAGCCAAAATGTGTCCATGTTGTATCTGCAAAACTTAAAATGAGACCACATCCAAAGGCAAATCCAAGAAAGCAGGCTGCTCAATTTTCATTCATTTGAATCAACTGGCCTTGCAGGTATACATAATATGTTCTCCTGCAAATATCATCATCAGTATTATGCATTCCCAAAATATTGCTGTTTTACAAATTTCGTAAACAATTATATCTAAGAAAGCAATCATAGGATATACATGAACATTGGCAAGGATGAATATAAAATGTTCCAACACAGTGGAAATATAATCACATGCATTTGGAAAGGAAAATATGACAAATTCTCCTGCCTCGTTTAAACCATAATGAACATGCCACGGTTTAAGCTTATACCCTCAGGATCAACACACTGTCCCTTTTTGCGTGTGATGCGGTAATGCCTGTGTAATTTAGCATAGCACCGAAGCCCTGTAAAAACAGGGAAGGAACATTTTAAATATGGTTTCTTCTTTGTCAGCATGAGTAACAATCAGTCCCAAAACACTTGCTCACCTTCCTCACACATGCAGCTATCATAGCACTTGTTGTTGAAGCCGCGGTTGTGAAGCTCACATACATGTGTCCTGAGGTTGCAGCAAGACCCTGAGAAAGTTCATGAAAAAGAGGTAAAAATGGTGTCAGCGTTTATTTGACTCAATCAAATTACATTGAATTATACTACTTTTCAAAATGTTTGGGTTCGGTAATATTTGTAATGTTTTTGAAAGAAGTGTCTTACGCTCACCAAGGCTGAATTTATTTGATCAAAAATACAGTAAAAATAGTAATATTGTGAAATATTATTACAATTTCTATTTGAATATATTTTAAAGGGTAATATATTCCTGTGGACAAGGCTGAATTTTCAGCATCATTACTGCGGTCTTCAGTGTCACATGATCCTTCGGAAATCATTCTAATGTGATGAAAACTGGTGCTCAAGAAACAATATTTGATTAATAGGAAGTTAAAGGGAACGGTATTTATTTGAAATAGACATTTTTTGTATCATTATAAATGTCTTTACTGTTTTTTTTATCAGTTTAATACGTTCTTGCTGAATAAAAGTATTATTAAAAATATTCTGAGTGATAATATATTACATTATAATTACTGAAATTACAAAGAGAACAGATACAATATAGTATAAGGGGCTCATTGTATTAAAGCATGTGGGAAAAGTCACCTGGCAGACAATCTAGGTGATGTTTGCAGCTCTTATCTGATGTAAGTATCACAAGTTCAGTGCTGGGGCTTTTTGTGGCCTGTTTGTCAGAACCTGGATAGAAGTAGAGCAATTGTGTTATGGGTATAGTAATTCACCAACACCTCACAACAGACACCAGAAGTTAAAACATCTTAATAACAATTACTCCATTTCATTTTTGAATATTAAAAACATTTGGCATTTTCCATGCAGGGACTAATGAGGTATGTGGAAATATTTGCCTAATAGTCCTAAATGGTTCATTCCTGTGGTCCCACATGTAAAGCAATACACATTATTCTGATAAACGATGTAGCATATATTGCAAAACAACATGCACAAATTATCTCAAGTCACCACTTCAAAACAAGAACACTTAAAAACTGAAACTCCCAACATTAAAAGCAGAAACAATATGTCTGAAATATTGATCTACCTCGCTTCTTAGAAAATAGCTTTTTGTGTGGAGGCCTCATATCTTCATAATCAGTCCAGTCAAAGAATGCCATGTCGAAAGTGGGCGTCACATCTCCACCTGAATAACTTCTGACCTGCGGTACAAAACAACATATTCAGTATTCATGTCCCTATATGAAGTGTTGAAATTACACTTTTTCATGTGACCGTAAATCACTTCAATTGCTAATCCTCTGAGGTTCGATGAAACAAATTATGGTGGTATGTGTTATACCTTTTGAGCCAATAAACAAGAAATTGTTTCATGTGTGGATTTAATTGATGGCATGAACCTATTATCCCTCATAATGTAGGTCACTGGGATTCAATTTTATTAAGCCTGTTTCTAGACACTGATGGATGAGGAGAAGCTGAGATATTTTTTAATCAGTGTGATTAAAAAAAACTGAACAGCTAGATGATGGTTACCTGTGGTTTTCTGGAGGGGGGTGGCTTTGTGGTGGGCTCCCCACCGACTGCTGCAGTTATGGGCAATATGAAGGAGCCAACGGTGGCTGCAGGGAACACTGGCTCTGTGGGACTCCCAAAGGAGTTTTTATTGAGCCTTTGATCAAAAGAAACCCTCCGTTTCTTCCCTAATGCCAAAGACTCTATGCAAAGAAAATGCCAAGTAGATCATTAAGAAATGGCAGGACAGTTATAAAGGAGTTTTACTTTGGAAAGTTACTTTGAGGATTCCTTTTTTACCTTCATCATGAGTCCTAACGATGTGCCCTCCAAACATATTGCGACCAGTAGGACGTCTCACTGCCTTCTCTGGAGTCTCAGCACCAGGAGAAATATTAATTTGCTCTGGAATGAAAGAATCAAACCCCATGGAGGTTCTCTTTTTCGGGGTGATTATCCGTCTTTTATCTGGCTCCATCTCTAAGCGGACGGGACTGAGGCCCTCCAGGTCTGGCCCTTCATTTTGGGTGTGGACCACAGTAATGTGGGGCCTCTCGCTGAGCTGGCCTGCTGTCATCCTCTCCTTGTGATCTCTGTGCTTCCTGTGATGATGTATGGATGCCTCTGGCCTGGGCGGGATAATGACATTGTCTCTGAAGACTTCCATGGCTGAATTGTGGCCCGTTTCGGTGCTCAGTGTCATGGTCACCAAGTCAAGGAGGAGAAAAGAGCCGAAATACCAACATAAAGCCACCATTCTAGGAGTCGAAAAGATTAAACAAATAATACAGCATTAAACAATAATGAATCACTGTATACTATCATTCAAAACTTTTGGGTGAGTAGGATTTTTTTTTTGGAATGAATTCTTTCTTTTATTTAACAAGGATGCATTATTGGACTGATTAAAAGTGACAGTAAAGACATTTATAATGTTATTTATGTCTATGTCAAATAAATGTGTTCTTTTGAACTTTCTATTCATCAAAGAATCCTGAAAAAAATTAAGAAGCACAAGAGTCAAAACTGATAAAAATACGACGTTTTTTGAGCACCAAATCAGCATTTTAAAATGATTTCTGAATGATCATGTAACACTGAAGCCTGGAGTAATGGCTGCTGAGAATTCAGCTTTTGCCTTCACAGAAATAAATTATTTTATATATACAGATTAATATGATGATGGCCTGATAAAATGCAGTGAACTAGGAGACTGTAATATAATGCCAGTCTCCAAAAATCTGTTCTTATTTTAAGCAATGTGTCACAGTACAAAAAAGAAATCCATTTAGATTGAGTTACTGGCTTTGAGACAGCTAAATGCAAATGGGCAGAAAATTCCCTCTATTCACACAACATCAGATCTTCAAAAAACCACCTGGTCTCACCACAAGCTTGTATAGGACTCAACGCACACCGAAAAGGAAAAAGAATGTCTTGAAATAAACCAAAGCAAAACAGCTTGACAGACCATTTGATGTTATGTTGCTCTTCTTTTTGTGAACATTTGCAGTGCTTTGGGAGTCGCGCCAGGCTCTACATTGGGTCTTTGATCTTGACACCAGTGGACAGCACTGAATATATGTTGTGCAAAGATTCTTCATAAGCAATGGTGTCTGGGGGAGTTTAGAAGCGTTATATTCCCTATCTGACTTATTACAATATAATATTCAAACAGACATGTAAGCGCATTCGCTCTAACTGTAATTTTTCTAAGCATCTTAGAGATGAGGATGAAGAGAACAGATCCAAGCCAAGGGATTTTTATCCTCAGAAAATGGGATAAAGCAGATGAGTGTGACTAATTAAACAAGCGAATTTTGCTTTCATGTACTGACAGACTAGAGTTGTGACAAATCCAACATTTCCCAACTGCTGCTGCATTTACATATATGAATGGCAAAACTTGGAGATTTAATCGAGAGCTTATGATTTGGATGCTATAGATGAAGCCTGAGGATGTTGAAAGATTTACAGGAAAATGATTCAGTTTAGTTGAACTCAGATGTTGGTGTAAAGTCATCATATGCTGTATGTCACCAGTTTTTTGAGAACACTACAAATTGCAGAAGGCACTAAAACACTGATAAAACTTCAGGAAAGTATCTTTTAAACATTTGTTCACATATAGGCTAACCAATATACCATAAAAAGAAAATGCAATCATTTGAAATGTGTTGCAATAACACATTTCTCTTTGAAGCACAGCATAATTTACCAGAAAATGAAACAGATAATAAGTGTCTCTCTGTTTCCTATGCATTTAATTATTCCAATTCTGCAATTGCCGCTGATCATGTGTTCATATTATCTTTAGTAATTTCAGGATCCCATGCTGTGCACGCCAATGCTGCTCAGGAGCCTAAAAATATCAAAGCTTCACCCCTTTCTCTCATTAGTCTGTGTAAACAGTGTCATGATTAATTCATTGGGGAATCTGGGCTTGTTCTTCCTTATACAGAGACTCCACTTTTCCTACTTAAGAGTATCGCAAAACTATTCACGTTAGAAGTGTTTCCTATGCATTTAATTATTCCAATTCTGCATTTGCCGCTGATCATGTGTTCATATTATCTTTATTAATTTCAGGATCCCATGCTGTGCACGCCAATGCTGCTCAGGAGCCTAAAAATATCAAAGCTTCACCCCTTTCTCTCATTAGTCTGTGTAAACAGTGTCATGATTAATTCATTGGGGAATCTGGGCTTGTTCTTCCTTATACAGAGACTCCACTTTTCCTACTTAAGAGTATCGCAAAACTATTCACGTTAGAAGCAAATGTAATATGCATATCATATAATACTTTGGCAATAAATACATTTCAACAATTTCTGAGGTAATGCCGTTAACATAATGACATACTTAATGCATCTATAATTCTGAATTAACATCTACTGATAATAGTTTTAATACAGCTGCACTGTTTACCTATGCCTAATAAAACAGCTCAATAATTACTAAAGAACAATAACAAGCATTCAAGAGAA